GGGTCTGAGGCCAGATTTGAACTCAGATCTTCCTCACTCCAGGCCAGGCCTTAAAAGCCAAGCCCAGGCTTTCATATTTGATCCTAGAAAAGGTCGGGGTTACCTGCCTGCCCACGGAGGTTATCCAGGGTGTGGGCAGGTGGGCAGGTGGGGTGACACAGTTATACCTGCACTTGAGGAAGTCATTAAAGAGGGGCCCCCTTAGGCCTCTAGTCCTGTGGGAACTATGTCTGTAGCTTCTTCTCTGCCGAGTCTGCTCTGGTCATTGGGAAGGCCCTTCTCTGCCCCATCCCAAGAAAATGGCGGCCAGGGAGGGGAATCTTGGTCTGGAAAGTTATAGGGACGGTAAGTGGGAGCTTTTGGGGAGTAGACTGACGCATCCCATCCGGGAACAATAGCAGTGTTGATTCGATTTTAGGTCACGGTTCATGGGTCCAGAACTTGGAAGGGGGTGGGGAGGAAAGGCAGGGAGAAGGATGGTAAGGAGGCTGTGGAGGAGGGGAGAAAGTGCAGCGTGATGGGGCCGTCCAGCATGAGTGTGCCTGAAGAGGCATTGAATGATCCGGAGAGCCAGCCCTGCTCCCACCCCAAGCCTGCTCCTCCAGGAAGCCCGGCCTGGGTAACTCAGCCTCCTTTCTCAATGAGGGTATTGTCTGGAGTAGGCCTTTGGGAGCCTGGGAATCGTGGAAACTTTCAGTCAGGAGGCCTGTTGTGGTCATTTGGTCCATCCCGGAGGCATGAGTCATCCTGGCAACATTCTGGACAAACACCCCCGGTACACACCAGGGCCATCTTGGCCTGCTCCGCTGGAGCCCATCTTGTTGGGAAGTTTAATGTCATTTGACAAAGCTTTATTAAGCATCTTGCACTGGTGCGGGTGATTGCCCTCAGCCCAAACCCCACCTTCCTAGGACATTTTTCCCGGACCCCCTCCCCAAACCCTGCAAGGCTTTCCCTCGGATTAGCTCCTATCTGCACTGTACAGATCTTGTGTGTGAATGTGTGTATATATACATACACACATGCACATACACACACGTATGTCTTTGCATGTTGCCTCCCCCGCGAGAGCATGAGCTCTGAGGTTCTGTGTTCTGTGCCAGGCACTAGGTCAGCTCTTGGGTGATCACTGAGGGAAAGAGCTGAACAGTTGGGGATTGGGAGGGCCAAGGAAGGCTCTTTGTGGAACAGGAGGGAGCCATGGGCCACGAGCCGGAGGGGGCGCCTATATAAAATCACTGAGGTGGGGTGGAACGTCAAGGCTGAGGTGGAAGGCGAATGGTGGGCAATCAGGCTGGAAAGGCATGTGGAGGGCCTTCAGAGCCAGGCTTCGGAGCTCGTACCTTACCCAGGGGAGCCGCTCAGGCTTTCTGAATGAGGAATGAGAGGGCGCGAGGCGGCTCGGGAAGCCATCCTCAGCCCTGGTGTCCAGAAGACGTAGAGGCCAGACCTGGCAGTCAAGGGCTCAGGGAAGGATGGGGATACTTAGCTTGGGAGGATCCAGGGACTGTTTGCTGCTAACGGAGAGAAACATGGCTTCTCTGGTTGGTGGAGCGGAGGCCCCGTGGGATGCTACCTCCCTGTGTGAGGGATGGACCGGGTCGGTTCTGCCCTTCTTGGGGGAATCAGATGGAGGCCCTCCTCCAACCTTTGAAATAGTAGACATGTAGGCACTTGGTGGCACAGTGCCCACCCTGGAGTCAGGAGGACCTGAGTTCAAATCCCACCTCTGCCCCTTACTAGCTGTGTGGCCCTGGACAAGTCACTTCACCCTAGTTGCCTCAGCTTCTCATCTGTTAAGTGAGAGGGTAGGCTTCGATATTCTCCAAGGCTCTCTGTGGTCTGGGTGCCTGTGACTGCACCAACGCCCGCCTCCGTGTTTGTGAAGGAGTGCCTCAGAGGGCCCCCTCAGTGGGCTCTGTGGACGGGAGCTGTCGTCCGGAGCCAGGAGGGTGGGCTGATGGCTGGCACCTTTCCTGATGATTCCAAGACGCATTTTTCCTAACCCTCCACAGTGTGATCTCACCCCTCAGACAAAACACAGTGGCCAGCTGCTGCTGCCCCCTCAGCTTCCTGCTCTGAGCATGTGGGAGCTCTTAACTGGGCCTCGACTCTGGTGTGTGACAAAGAGCAGAGCTCAGAGACGCAAAATAAAACTGCCTCCTCCCCCAGAAAGTGGGAGTTTGGTCCAGGCTTCCCAAGGGCTCAGCCTCTGATGTACAGAATTCAAGCCCTAGCCTTCAGGAGGCCTTTGTCAGCTTTCCCTCCCTCTGTCAGATGGCCTTCCATCCACTGTCTGGATCCCATAAATAAACACCTCTCTGTTCATGCCCCCATCAGAAAGTGAGCTCCTCCAGGGAGTTTCTGCCTTTTTGTTGGGGCCCTTGGCTGAGGGCCTGGAGCACAGTAAACACTTGATAAATACTTAGTGAGACAAAGATGAGATTGTCCGGGGGTTTCAGAAGAAGAATAAGGACGTGGACACAATTGGTCAGTGATTCATGCCTGAAGGAAGCCCAGGGGTGTGTGTGTGTGTGTGTGTGTGTGTGTTTGTGTGCAGCCTGGGACAGGACCTTGGAGCCACTGAGAGCAAAGGAGGCACCTGAGCCCCAGAACACGTGAAAGGCTTGGTCACGGCCACTGGTTGTCCATGGAAGAGGCAGACCTGGGATCTAGGTTTTCTGATGACTCCAGGAGTCTCTCCCATGGACCATGCTGAACTCTGGGAGGCACAACCGTCAGGCAGGGGAAGAACATAGTTGCTAATCTCCTTCTGCCAAGACACGAGATTTTTTCCAGGCTCAGCCTCATGATGTCCATCTGCCCCCCCCAAACTAACACACCCCAGAGTGCTCTCCCCACCCCAAATTTGCATTTATTTTATATATATTTTGACAATAATAGATGGAACTCACACATTACTGGCACGTTTGCAAAGTGCTTTCCACACCCAGGGATCAGGCTCTCTCCTTAGCAGGTGAAAACACAGACTCAGGTTGTCAGGTACTAAGGGTTAAGTGTGGGTGGGATCAGAACCCAGGGCTTCTTGATCCTAGGACCAATGTTCTATCCACTAGATGGTGCTGCCCCATTTCTAGTCTTTGCTGACCTCCAAGCTCCCGTCCCCAGCAGCCTTCCAGACATCTTGAATGGGACGTCCAGTAGAGATCGTAACCAACTCATGATCTTTCCCCTTTTAACACCCCCCCTCCCCTTGCCCCACCTCCTCTGTTACTATAGAGGGCACACCCTCCTCCCCGCCCCTCAGGCTCACAACCTAGGAGTCATCCCGGACTCCTCACCATCTCCCCCACCATCCAATATGGTGCCAAGGCCTGTCGATGCCATTTTTGTAGCATCTCTCGAATATGCCCCCTCTTGCCTGCCCCCTGGTGTGCGCCTGCACTATTGCAATAGTCTCTCCCCATTCTAATTCATCCTTCACCCAGTCTAATCATGTCACCCCTGCCCCCCACCCCACCCCATTCCATAAACTTGTGACCTCCAGGATCAAAAAGAAAATCCTTTGGCTTTTGAAGCCCTTCATACCTCGGCCTCGTCTTTGGCTGCCCCCCTCCCCCCCATCTCTGACTCCTGGCTTCCCTCAAGTATCAACCAAAATCCCATTTTCTACAAGAAGCCTCTCTGCTGTTTGTGAGCAGCACACACTTAGCCCAGTGTCTAACACATAGTAGGCACTAGTTTGACAGCTAAGCCTGAAGGTAGGGGCTGGTCCCTGTGCCTAATGGATAGCTTGTTGGATGAGGATCTCACCTGTAATGGACAGAAAATACCCATTTTAGAGGTGAATGCCCATTACTGGCAATTTGGTTCAACAAGCATGAGTCAAGGGGCAGGACTTCCAGCACAGAGAAATTGGAGACGGCCACCTTCTGGAGCAACCTGCTTCCCACAGGGCTGAGCTTCTAGGGCTCTGGAAGTTGTGGGGAGTTTCCTTGGTCCTGCACAAACACATTCTAATTTTTTAATTTTTATTTTTACACAACTGGGGTTAAGTGACTTGCCCAGGGTCACACAGCTAGTAAGTGTTGAGTGTTTGGTCTGAGGCCGCATTTGAACTCAGGTCCTCCTGACTTCAGGGCTGGTGCTCTATCCACCGCGCCACCTAGCTGCCCTCCACAAACATATTCTAATCTAGTACCCAGTAGCTGTGTGACTGGGACCAAAGTCCATGTCCCTGGGCAAGCCACTGTAGATGAATTCAATTTCCTCATCCACAAAATGGGTATAAGACCTGGCTCATGGGCTTCATGGGCAGGAGGGTTCCGGAATCCCGGGCCTCCTTCGTCTTGAGGATTTGAGTATTTAGAGCTGGACAGCTCTTAATTCTATAGACAAGCCAACCAAGGCCCGGATTTCAGATGACCATGTGGTCGCTCTCGTTGTTCAAGGCCTCATGTGTCACGGACCTGACCTTAGAAGGGCCCTCGGCGATCATCCAGCGCACACGAAAGGATCTCTCTGAGGAGCTCCAGCGGGGATTCTAGCCGGGGGTGGCGGAGCCCCAATTCAAAGCCAATCTTAACAGGGTTCAAGTGTGAACTGTCATTCCTGATGCTACGAAGAGGTGCATGGTCTTAGCAGAGAACAGGACGAGCAGGCCTTAGACAAGAGTCGTGGAGGCCTGTTTGGGAGAGGGCACGGAGGCTGCAGCCTCCACACTGGCCCGGGCTATAACACATTCCTTCCTCCTTGGGCTTGGTCCAAATGGGCAGAGCCCTCTTCTCCACTCAGGCCTGAGGCAGAGTCTTCTTCAACCTCTAGCACAAAAAAAAAAAAAAAAGAGGTGGGGTGGAGGGTGGCCCCCGACAAACAGACCAAGGATATGTCATTTTGGCTTTTAAACTGGCAAATGTCTGAGCCACCCAAGGATCACCACACCTTGGATTCCTACTTAATAAAAGTTCTATCAACAGCCTCTAATAAATTCCCAAAAGTACAATACTCTCGTTTTTTGTGTCATAAACCACTTCAAAATGTGCTTGAAATAATCTTTATTGTTATTAATGGTTATTTATAGAATACAAAAAATTAGTATGTCCATTTAAAAAAGAGTAACAATAATTAGTAAAACATCACTTGTTGCCTTAAGAACGGGAAGGAGAGAATACAGAAAAAAACATGAAATGAGTAAGAGAGTTACATCACTGACCTGCATCCCTCCCTCTGCCCAAGAAAAGACCCAAAGAGAATCCCCTCACTCTCTCATTTACGGCATCGCATCTCAGCTCAGAGCTGCGGGCAGCTTTTGCCCAAAGGCAAGAAGGATCTCTTGGCACACTGCTTGCCTAGAGCACGAGAGAGCTGCCCCAGGTGCTGAGGGTGGGCACCGGGGCACCGCAGTCTCAACATCCTTGAGGCATTTTTTAAAAAAGAAAGCTCTCCCTCAGAGAAGGCAACAAAATGCCAAACATCTGGGAGGAGCTGAGAGACCACCAGATGGACAGAGTAAGTCGAGGACATACCTCGGGTCACCTTTCCCAGCAGCATGAAGAGAATACAAAATAAATTCCAGCGATGACATTTGTCCCTTTCCCTTAAGACAGATTTCCTTTAAAATATGAGATTAGTAGTGACAGGAAAGTCTTGAAAGAAATCCCAAACCCAGTTTTGACTGCAACGGGGACATGTTCTCTCCTGTTGAAAGGTTTGGGCTGTTGGCCACTTTTTTTCTGGGGGGAAGGGAATCAACCCAAACATGACTAGAAAACAATTGTTTTTCTTAAAATTTACATTCAAATTGTGCTTAAGAGTTACGGTGTGGCGTTAAGGCCTTAAGTGACAGTGAATTCCTCCAGCTGTCCAGGTTGAGTACAGGGTGGCGGGGGGGAAACTCTTTACTGACCAGCCAACCACACCAGCTGGACCCCCAACCTAAGGGAGGTCCCTGAGCCAGCCTGGGGAGTCCAAATGCTGGGCTCTGTGGGGCCCTGGTGCCCCTGATGGAGACCCTGGCTAAAGTGCTGGTGTTCCCAGAAGCCTCTGGCAGAACAAGTGGATATGTGGGCCTAGGACCCAGGGGTGGGGTGGTACCTGTTCACCCCAGAAAGTGGAACCTCCACAGGGATGAAAAGGAAATTGTTTCTCGGTTGACAACAGGCATTCCAAGCCCACCTCAATCTGCCCACCAGAGTGCTGTCAACCCACCGTTGTCACGGTCTTCTGTCACACAACAGCTGGAAGCAGAAACTTGCCTGAGGAAAGGCTGTGGCAGCTGGGGGAGAGCGTGTGGGAGGGGACTGCTCTCCCCAGCCATCCGGCAGCAAGGGTGATCGGGGGGTGTGAGCGGAGGACATCTGGCAGCGGCCGGGGGCCTGGTTCCTTCCTCTCCAGGAGCCCCAGCAGGGGAGTGTGACAATGCATTTAGCAGAAGGAATGTGGATGATGCAGATGCCAAGCCCACTGGGGTCAGAGAGGGGATCTGAACCAGCTCTGCCGTGCTGATCCCCAACTGGAGGATTCTTTGGCTGCCGGTTCTCTGGGTCGTCTCGTTCAGACAGTAGCAGGCACTTTGGGGAGGCACAGAGGCCCAGGGCACAGGAGAGCAGACGACGCTGCGGGAGAGCCCTGCCCTGCCCACACCCGATCCAGGTGGTGAGGCCCCACAATCACCCAGGGTATTGAACACCAAGTCCCAAATCATCCGGCCACAGACGCACAGAAAAGGGAATCACATACATAAATTAGAGGAATAACTTAGCAGAGCGTGGGGCCGTCCGTGCGTCTCTTGGCCTTCCCCAGTCAAGGGTGGGACAGACAGGAGCCGGGCCCCAAACACAGTGCTGGCTTCGCTTCAGGCAGGGTGCTCAGTTCTCTCTCCCCTTCAGCCCTGCTCTAGGCTGTCCGTGGGCTGGACTGCAGCATATGCTGCTGGGCCCAGGGACAGCTGGCGACTGAAGAAGGAAGTTGTGCGTTTGGGTTTCACTCGCTTGATCTCCTTGCCTGGAAATTGAGAGGGAGGAAGAGATCTGGCTCAGTGGGGGCCCAGGATGGAAGAGCGTTTGCCTGGGGCTGCTGGTTGGGTGTCTCGGCCATCAGCCAGACCAGTGTAAGCAGCAGAAGCAGGAGTGGTCTGAAGGTCATTGTCACGAGCACTGGGCTCAGACAGAACTGCCTTGGACCAAGAGCTTAGCTCCATGGGAACATGCCGCCCCATTCCCCGGGGGTTCTTGTCTCAGCTTGGAGAGAGGGTCCCCAGAGAATGAGAGGTGACAAACCTTAAAAAGGAGAGGGGATGGGAGCATAACTGGAGTTTGGCTGGCAGCAGGGATTTGGGATATTCTTTTTTTAAAAAAAATTATTATTATTTTTAGGCAATAGGGGTTAAGTGACTTGGCCAGGGTCACACAGCTAGTAAGGGTCAAGTGTTTGGTCTGAGGCCGGATTTGAACTCAGGTCCTCCTGACTCCAGGACTGGTGCTCTATCCACTGTGCCACCCAGCTGCCCCTGGGATATTCTCATAAAATCCATTCAAGAACAGTACACGTCCCTGTGCTGGGCCTGGGTATGCTGAGACTAGGGTGAAATCAAACCGAGAAGTGTTTCCATTGGTGAGGGTTAATTAGAGCAGCAGCCATGGGGGACTGTGGTATCCACTGCCCTTCCTTGGGTGACTGCAGGTGGCGTCTGAAAACGAGGTCTCGCTTTCTAGAACACACCTCAAAATCCAGGAATAACAGGCTCCTGGCCAAGGATGGAGTATACCTAACAAGGGGGCAGTTAAGAATATAATTGCCTGCTGTATCCTACAAAATATAATTAAAAGAGATTTAAAATGAAAGGGACGGAGGAGGGAGAAAACTGACTTATACCCAGACCCCACCTGGCCCCCAAAAGCCCAGGAGGGAGCCCTTCTCCTCAATATTCCCCTCCCCTTTCTCCATCCCGGATGGACACTGACCCCCTCCAAGCCCCACACTTGTAGGAGGGGAAGCCGATCAGAGCTCCTGGTCTACTATGACACGCTGGCCCAATGGGCCTCCCGATGGGTGGGAGTCAGGAAGACTTGAGCTCAAATCCAGCCCTGGGCAAGTCACTTACTGTCTGTGTGGCCCCGGGCAAGTCACCCGTCCTCTATTTGCCTCTGTTTCCTCAAACATAAAATGGGGATAATAGCAGCACCCAGGGTTGTCGTGAGGATCAAATGAGATATCTGTAAAATGCTTAGCACGGTGCCTGGCACACAGTAGGTGCTCAATAAATGCTTGCTGACTGACTGTTCTCCCCAATAAGGAGGACGCGGTTGCTGGGGCCCCTGGGATCAAATGACCGCTCCACCTTAGAATCTGGGATGGGGGAGAGGAAAAGCAGGCCGAGCCCGGCCCGGCCCTAGACTGGAGGGATGCCAGCTTGGAGCCCTTGACTGGTTACCCTGAGGGAAGACCCCAGGAGGGGCAGGAAGGCTCGGGAACGGAATTAGGGAAGGGAAGGGGAGGGGAGGAGAGTCACCCAGAGAGGCCTATGTGGACAGGTGGGGCTGCTGACCAATCTGGGTTTTTTAAAAGACAGGATCAAGAAATGTCTCAGGGGAAATTAGTGACCTGTTCCTGGCAAGTGAAAGGTGAGTCGCTGAGTCCCAGGTGGCTCTGGCTTAAGAAGAGACGGGAGGCAGAGGCCGAGGCTGAGGCTGGTACGGGGACGGAGAGCCAGCAGAAGACTCGGCAGCAGGGACAGGGGCAGGAGCAGTTAGACGACGGAAGGCTTCAGCTCAGACATTCCTCAAAGGGGACCGCCACGCAAGCAAATAGCATGGTGGGGGGCAGCGAGGTAGCACAGAGGATAGAGCACCAGCCCTGGAGTCAGGAGGACCCGAGTTCAAATCCAGCCTCAGGCACTTGATACTGGCTGTGTCACCCTGGGCAGGTCACTTAACCCCAACTGCCTCACCAAAAAATATGAATGTGAGTAGCATAGCACCTTTCCAAGGCCCCTTTTAAATGTGACTGTCAGTTCAAAGTGCTTGTGAATGACGTGGGGGCCCAGTGGGGAAATGAGGGTCCCTAGCAATAGGCACAGAAGCAGTCTGTGTGTGTGGCAGACGTCCCTGACTAACGCAATGGCACCAAAGTCGGATTTAGCGTGAGCCCACAGGCTTCCGTGTGTGTGCGTGTGTGTGTGCATGCACACGCGTGTGCGTGTGTCCCCTCTCCTCCTCAGAGGCTGCGGGCACCGGTTAGAAGGTGACCCAGGCTTGAGTAGACTGTTAGGTTTTTCTCATTACTGCCCTTGCTTTAGTGGGTGCCTAGGATGTTGCTGCTTATTTGGGATTTAATAACAGCAGCTAGAAGCCCAGGGCAGGTGACAGAGAATGAAGATGAACACGTGGCCGGGTTCTGTAAAAACGGTCTGAAGCGTGAAGACCCAGTGATACCCGAGGCTGGCAGGGAGAGTGAGGAGGAGGACCACCAAAGCAAAGATTTTGTTTGAGCTCCAAGAGGCGAGCAGAAGGGCTCGAGCGGCTCACGCTGGAGAGGACGAAGAGGACGCGAGCAGAGCGGCCTAAGGCCCATTTTGCTGCAAGAATGATTTTCAGAATGAACAGAACAGGCCAAAAATGGCCAGCTGGGAGCTGTTCCCCAAGACAAGCGTGGCGATGGGAAGAGAGCCCAGCGGCCCTCGGGACGGCGGATAGGCAGGGATAGACCACGTCCTCAGATCCCGAAAGAACTGACCAAGGGGACCGCGGGGCTGCTGTCTGAGAGAGACCATTACAGCCAGGAGACGCACCACAAACACTGCATGCAGGGGACCAGTGAGAACGGAGGCTGCTGGTGTGGACCAGCGAGCTCTGCCCCTTCTGGGACTGGGAGGGTGGAGGGGTTGTGGGCATGCCAGAGAGAGAGGAGAGAGAGACAGGAGAGAGAGGGAGGAGACAGAGGAAGGAGAGGAGGGACAGAAGCAAGGCCAGTGCGCTCAGGCTCATCTGGAAGAGGCTGAAGGACCCGGCTTCACGGGGGGAGGGATGTGAGCGTGGCCCAGTGCTGTTCATCAATGGCTCAGACAGAAGCTGGGGGGCAGGTACGCTCCTCAAATCTGCAGACGCCACAAAGCCGGGGGGAATGGCCACCCTACCGGATGACAGTCAGAATTCAAGAAGGTCTCGAAAGGCCTGAATATTGGGCAGCATCTACTCGAATGCAGTGGAATAAAGGCACGTGGAAAGCCTTCGACTTGGGCTCAGAAGATCAAGCTCCCCAGCAGAGGATGGGGTGGGATGGCAGTCCAGGACCCTACACCTGTGTTGGACGTTGCCCCCTCCCCGCCAGTGCCGGGCATCCTATTTTAGAAAGGCCACGGGTGGATGAGGCAGAGCAGATGGGGACCACACCGAGGACCCCTTCGATGGCGCCACTGGAGGACTGGGAAAGGCCTGGGGACATCGACCAGGGAGAAGAGAAGAGCCGGGGGGAGACGAGGGGGCTGTTCTGTGTGGTCGCCAGCGGGCAGAGCTCATGGCAAGGGAGGCAAGTCGTGAAGAGGGAGTCTTGGCCGTGGCACATGGCCAACCCTGAGTGGAAGGGGCTGCTTCGGCAGGTCAAGACTGGCCCTTCATTGGATCTAACACAAGCCGAAGAGCCTCGGGGCTCGACCCAAAATCCAGATGTGTGGCTGTCCGGCCCCCTCCCCCGCAGCCCTGGACGCCCGCGTGGCTTGGGCCTGCTTCGATGGCCTCCGTCGTCCCCTGGGCTCCAGCGCCTTGGATCCAACTTTCCACTTGGCGGTGGGAAGCCCACCCCACGTCCCTCCTTGGGGTCTGGAGCCACTCACCGTCATCCACATAATCGATGGTGGCCAGGTGCTGGATCCGGCTGCAGACCACACTGCTCTGCCTCCGGAGCTTGTGGCGCTGAGAGGCGGTGGGTGGCTGGGGGCCGGCGGCGGGGCTGGCCTTTGCTTCCTGGGCCAGGGCAGGCTCCTTGGCTAGGCTCAGCTCGATGCAGTACTCGATGAGGCCGCTCATCAGCTCTGCCTAGGAAAGCCGAGGAAAGGAGAGGACAAAGCAGGCTGTGGGGGGGGAACGACTGGGCTAAGGACAGCACCCCAGGGGGCCTAGGGAGGCACAGAGGAGACGCGGCACCACTCACAGCTCTCCGACCCTGTCCCCATCCCTGCCCATGGGGCATCTGGGGTCACAGGAGCCAGCTGAAGTCCCGCTTCCTGCTCTGCGACAGGAGCCAAGACAGCTGCCCTCTCTCAGCCTCGGTCTCCTCTTCTGTGAAATGGGCCCAATCACAGCTTCACTGTCTACTTCACAGGGTTATAAAGCTATGCAATCTTGGTTGTAAACCCAAGTGTACGTTAGTGTGATCTCCTCCTTTTACAGGGAGGGGGACTGAGAAGGAACGCAGAATAAACAAGATCACGAAAGGATGGGAAAAAACCCAAGAAACCTCCCAAACCAAAGCACTGCCACAGACCAAAGTGGTCTCCCATCGGGCCAAGGCTTCCTGCCTGGGCCCTGAGGGAGCCACCTCCAAGCTGTGGGTGAGGGGCAGGAGGCCCCATGAACCCCAGGGAGGCACAGCACACACACACACACACACGGAGGCTGGCCACAGTGAGCGCCAAGGGGACCCAGAGCCCTGGCCCGGCCCGACTTTCCTCTGGGTACGTATGGGCAGGCCCCTGGCAGCGGAGCCCCATATGTCACAGCCACGAGGCTGGGCTCTGACCGCAGAACCCCAGGCCACCTTCAAGTACTGGCGAGCTCTCCCCTGAACTGCTTGTGTATTCTGACTCCTCCAAATGCTCTCCTGGAGGGGGGCTGATGCCACCCAGTGAGAGACAGCCTGGCACAGGGCAAAGAGCCAGAAGCCCTGGGTTCCAATCCTGGCTGGGGGACTGGCCTGCCTGGAGGTTTAGACACAGAGAGTGCCATGCGCTCAGCCCCCTCCACTGAGGCCGTTACCTGCTTGGAGTAGACTTTCAGGAGCTTGTTCACGGGCATGCCCTCACTCTCCCCGTCGAACTCCAGCCATAGGATGGGCTCATCGTCGCCCGAGCAGGTGTAGTCCCAGGACAGCTCTTGGAAGCGCAGGCCCAGGAGGACATGCTGGCAATGAGACCGGGAGGGAATGGTCCGAGGTCACGGCCATGACCGGGGACACCCGCCACTGGCGGGATGAAGTCTTGAGTTAAGAGACGAGAGCCCCGCGGCTCCGGGAGGGCTGCGTCCCTCAGAACCTTCCACGGGACAACAAAGGAGAAGGGGGGGAGATGCACGAGGGCACACAAAAGAACCCAGGAGGCAAACAATAAAGGCTGAGGAACAGACTGACGCCACAAAGGGCTGCCGTGTGATCTCACCCGAGCCCCACAATCGCCCTGGGGGGCAGAAACGAGGCACTGGGAGGGGACGTCCAAGGTCCACTAAGCGTGGGACAGAGACCAGCACCGTTGGCTGCCATGGTATGATGGGCGGGGCAAGGGGCTGGGTGCGAGTCACTTTGTAAACTACACCAGGGAGGCTGTGTCCTCAGGCCCATTCCAGATCCTGACAAAACGCAGGGATCCAAGGTGGGCCCCAGCAGAAGTGTACCTTCTCCTTGGTATCGATGACGTGGACGCCCTCCAGGTTGATGGCCACAGTCACGGCCTTGCGCCCACCCCGATGCAGGAAGCCCTGGGCTGGTTTGTCAACCTCACCGCAGAAAAACGCGCACCTGGGGGGCACAGGGGTGGCCAGCATTAGGCTCGCAGCCTCGCCACCTCAGAAAGGCCCCTCCCCGTGACTCACCCATAATAGGGCAGCTCGTGGCACTTGAGCAGGTAGGCCCGGTAATGCCTGGTGAGCAGCTCAGCCTCTGGGCACGCCGCCTCTTCCTTCACCTCCTGGTAGGCACTCAACAGGCCCTGCTCCCCGGGCACCAGCCGGGGTCCCCGGCTCCGGAAGGCTGTGAAGAGGCTGTGAGGCCTCTTGCAGAGATGGGCAGGCAGGAAGGAGTCAAGCTTCTCTCTAGAGGGCAAGATGGGCACTGTCAAGGGATGGGGTCACACCTGCAGCCTTGCCAAGGGAGCGAACCTCCAGAGCCCTTGCAGGCATCAGGCCACGAGGCTTCCGTCCGCCACAGTGATACCGATGTCCTGTGCAGGACAGCTTTTGGCCTCTGGTGGTCAAACTGAGGGCAGGAATCCTTCCCATCCGGGGAGGTGACCCCTGGCAGGCCCAGGAAGAGAAGGGTTTTTGAACATCCTGCTCTCATTAGGGGCCAGTCTCTACTTAGAAACTCTTGTAAGCGGGTGGGACGCGGCCCAGGCCTCTGCAGATGGGGAGCAGATGGCTCATCAGAGACAGATGGGACAACATGGAAAAAGGCAGCAGCCCACGACTGGAGAAGGCCAAGGGTTTAGCGAGTACAGGGCGAGGGACAGGCAGGCCGCTGCTGGAGGCCCAAGGTCCCTCACCGAGGTGGCCAGAGCTGAGCTGGCTCGGTCTCGGAGACTCAGGTGTGTGTTAACCTGAGGAGACAGGCAGCCCCTCAGACAGTGAGTGTCTTGGGGCGGGGGATCTGCCCTCCAGACTCCAGCCAGGGCATGCCTGATCCTGCCTCCCTCAGAAGATCGGGGTTCGAGTTCTGGGGCGGCCACTTCCTTGCTGGGGTCTCCTCTGGGCCTCACTGCTTCACCTAGGTGGTCTTTCTGGCAGAGCCTGGGGGCCTCTTTCCTCAGAATGTTTTTAAATACTTGAAGGAAACGCTAAGTGTCAGTTAGAGTCGGATTAAGAGAAAGATAAGTATGTATCTCCCCTCCAAGTTCAACGAGCCCTGATCGGTCCTTACTTCACGGCACAGGCCGTCTGCTGGCCTTGGCGGTAAGGCCCCAGTTCCAGACGGCACACCAGGGCCCCGAGTTTCTCACAGTCCTCCACGTCACAGGGATAGCGCACCTCCAACACATTGAACTTGGCCTCTTCATACAACAGCCTCAAGACGTCCTCATTGTTGACCTAGGAAGCAAAGGGTCCTCAGACAGAGGCCTGGCTCGGGAGGCCAGAGCAGGGCCATGAGAGCACGTGAAGAGTGGAGGGGGGACGGGAGACGAGGCAGAGACAGGAAGCACCCTGGGGAGTCTGTTCTGGGCTCTGCTGGGGCCAGGCAGCCTCACCTGCAACTCCTTCCGCTTTGGGAAAAAGACATTCCTTCGGAACTGTAGCGAAGGCTCATCTGGGGACAGAGACGAGAAAGTCACCGGCCCTGCCCTCTCCCCACACGCCCCAATTCTTCGTCCAGCCCCGCTTCTCTTGCTCTGCCTTTACTCCCATCCCACATTCTTGCCTCACGTACCATAATTTAGTAAGGGGACTCACTGGGGACACTACAGGTGACCTTTTCCTGAGGCTCACCCGCAGGCAGGGGGGATGGGATGATGGCTAGCCTTTCAAATCATCTGCCAGGTGCAGAGGCAAAGGTGCCTCCAGGAGGCTTTCTGCTCATCTTCGGTCTGCTCCGCCAAGTCCAGCCTAGCTGTGGCCTAGCTAGCCAGCTGGCCACCAGAACGGCCTGGGCTCTGGAAGGTTTGGGGACAAGGCCAGGAGGGACTGTGGGGTTAGGCTCCACAGCTACAGGTCCCATGACGTGGCCTGGGCTTTACTCTTGCCTCCGATTCCGAGATTAGAGCATTGGACTTATTTCAATAGGAAATCTGCCCCCGCTAACCTGAAATGGAAAAAGGAGGGAGGGAGGGCAAGGAGAAGTCCAGGGGCATGAGGAAAGCAAGTGCTACAGACCCACAGCCATGTCATCCTCTGGGGCGTCCGTGAAGCGAAACAGCAGGTCCGGCCACTGGCGGCACACCTTGTACGGCTGGTGTTTGGGTTTCAGCTGCACCTCTGCCAGAGAAGCGGAGAAGGGCCCTTCAGTGGGGTCGAGGCAGCGCCTCCGGAAGGCGCAGGCCCCTCCCTCCCCTCCCAGCCCCCTCCTGTCCTGGCTCCTCGGGATGCCCTCAGCAAGGCTGAGCTGTGGGGAGAACAGGACAGGTCTCGGGGGGAGTGGCCCAGGCCAAGTTGAGCTGAGCCAAACCCAGCAAGGCCCCTCTCTCCAGAAACCAACGATCGGGCAGGCCTTTGGAGGAGCAGCTCCACGTTAAACGGATGAGCCCAGACCCCCGCTCCTCTGGGGCCTGTCTACACTGGGCCTCCACAGCAGGCAGCTGACTCCAAGTCCCGCTGCCACCTGGTCAACGTGATTTTGTTGTCCAGGATCTGGGTCGAGTGGAAAGGGGCTTGGATTTAAAATGAGAGGAACAACAGGGGTCACATCCCACTGCTGCCTCTTTCCTGTCATGTAAGCTCTTGGGCCTCAGTCTCCTCCTCCGTCAAATGAGGGGCACAGACTCAATGACCCTGGGGGCTCTTCTCAGCCTTTGGGACCCCCAGGAGTGTCTCCAGCACTTTCCCCTCCCCAACATTTTACTCTGCAGCGCTTCCTCCCCCAGCGGTCCCTGTCCAGATCCTCAGCTCCGACCCGCTCTCCCCAGCCCCCTTGGCCTCCGCCTGCTGCCCCGCTGGAGCTGCCCAGGTACAGCCTTCCTGGGAATCTCCCTGGGACCCCACAGACCTCTCCTTGGCCTTCAGGGTCCTGCCCCTGCCCCCAACCCCCTTCTTCAGTGCTCTCCGATCCCCCCGCCAAAAACTGTTCTTTCTAACGGCCTGGCCCCCATATTCCCCAGCTCCAACCCCGTTCCTTTTCCCAGTGGCCCCTGGGGTCAAGCTGCCAGACTTAGTTCTGTGGTTCTGCCACCAGATCTCCCTGGAGAGGAGGAGCTCCTGGGGGCACAGCCCTGCGCACAGTGGGCCCCCGTGGCATCTATGTCACTGGCTGAGTCATCGGGACACCTGGGCCCCATACTGGCTGCCCTGCCTTGGGCCCGACACTAGAAGGCGTTGGCAGGGTCTGATTCCACTGCCATCATCTTACTGTCGGAGCATTCAGGCTTTCGGGTGCTAGTTCTTTTCTTCCCACCATCCCCAGGGGCCTCTGCCCTTGATGCCTCACTTGGCCTCTCTGGGCTGCTGGGCACAGCCAGGGAAGCCCGCTGATGCCACACTGGGCAGCCAATCAGGGTCTTGGCTTGTCGGGCCATGAAGTCGTCTCAATGCTCGCCGTGAGCCTTCCGTTCTCTTTGGTATGCTCAGGGCCAGGGAGGAAAAGGAACTGCAGGGGGAGCACAGTCAACCCACGCCAGGCTGCCTTAAGTCAGACAAGCGGTGGATTCCCATAGTTGGAGAGTCAGGAATGTGCCCAGAGCTGGGGAGGGGGAGGAAGGCAGAGAGGTCCAAGACAACAAGGAGAACGTCAGCTGGCACGGATGGCACACCCCCACTTTTCCCTCATGGCACTGTCTATGTATGGGCAGAGTGGAGAGGGGAAGGGGTTGGGGGGCCGGCAGGAGGGAGCCCCACCCCCAGGGCCACAGAGTCCTTTATGAACCAACCAAGGAAGCCCCAAAGCCTGGAAGACGTAGACAGGCCACAGGGCAGGTGAGGATGGGAGCTGCGGCTGCTGAGGAGAGAGGACTGGTGCACCAGGCCCCGAGGAAGGAGCAGGGGGAAGAGGGCGTCTGGCCGGGCTGGCCAACAGCCAGGCCGCCTGACTCCTCCCAGACGACTCGGTCCCTGACAGACCATGGCCCCCCGGCAAGTGGCAGCCCCCCTTTCTAATTCCATGCCTGTCTTTGGGGCAGGGGCCATCAGTCTCAGAATCAACAAAGACAACCAAAGCTTGAGCTTGAGGTTATGGTGGATCAAGGCCCCTGTGGCCCCCTGCTTTGAAATGGGTGGATCATGCCTGCTCTACCACCTGGAGGGGCTGAGCCCACCCCCTCAAGGGGAGTGCAGGTACAGAGCAGAGGCGACCCTTCCCCAGGCCCCAAATGTTTGGGCAGGTTTTCTCTAGTGCTAGGGCTCCATCAGCTCCTGCCCTCCTCCCCCAACGGCGTAGAGATGGGGGGACCTCTGAGATCATCTGGTCCCCCTCTTTGGGTACAGATGGAGAAACTGAGCCTCAGAGAAGCGACGGGAGCTGCGCAAGGTCATATATTAAAACCAAGAGTTTGAACCTACATCTTTGGACGCCAAAACCAGAAATAACAGCAAACAGAGTTCCAACTTCTAAGGCCAGGCCTGGCTTGGTCCTCACAACAACCCTGGAGGAAGGGGCTATTGTTATCATCAGCCCCATTTTAAGAATGAGGAAACTGACTCAGACAAGAGTCCAAGTGTCCTGGGTAGTTCTTCCTGACTCTGGGTCTCTCAGCTGCCTGTTCTCTGCACAGCCTCAGGACCTTGTAGGATCAGGGCTGTGGAGGCAGTACCAGACTGGAGTGTGCCCCTCCCCAGGCTGCTGGGAGGCTTGGAGACAAGTCTGGAAAGTGCTTTGCAATCCCTGAAGGGCGCTGTCAGTGCCCGGGACCTTCTCTGCATTTCCAGTTCCCACACCTGTGAGTCATCCATCCCCCGCCCTCACCCCGGGAGCCCACTCTCTGTCCCACTGTGCCCCTGGAAGTGGGACGGATTATGTTCGCAGCCACCTTGGGCTTCATTCCTGGTCCAATGGTATGCACCCTAAACTCACCTCTAGGCTCCCCACACGACACTGGCAGGGACCTGGGAAAGGCCTTCCCTGCTAGCTGATTCGCCAAGTTCTCCACCTGAAGCCCGAGAAAACTACATCCAGATACAACACTTTTGTTTCCAGAAATAGCCCTTTCTCAGAAGCCACAGTCCTTCCCCTCATCTTACAGAGAAGGAAACTGAGGCCCAGAGAGGGGGAGTGACTGGGACCCACAGGTCGTGAATGCCAGAGGTAGGATTCAAACCCAGGACCACTGACTCCAAAGTCAGCCCCCTTTCCACTGTACCAGATGCCTCGTCCAGCTGATAATGCCCAAGGGTCCTTACCAAGCAAGGGCGAGATAAGCCAGAGGGCAAAGGCCTCCACGGCGATGTCGGGGAGCTGCAGGGCCTCACGGATGGTGCGGTGAAGGTCCTGGGCAGTGATGGAGGCCACATTCTCCACAGCCAGGGGCACCACTGTGTCGTCCATGAGGTACACAAGCACATCAGCTGCTGTAACACAGACCAAGGTCAAACTGCTGCTGCCCCGGCCTCTCGGGGGCAGCCAATCCCTGACAACACCCACCTGCCCCACACCCCATCACCCATGCGGCTTCCAGGGAAACGTTTCCTATCTCCACCTGCACCAGCCTTGGAGACCCAGAGGGAGGCCTCTCCTCAAGGGGGCCTGCTGTGTTGAGAGGGGTCTCTGGGCTCTTCCATCAAACCAGCACTCTTCCCCAGATGGCCACCCCCTGCCAAGTACCTCCAGGGACATGAGCATCTTTCTGGCCACAGGCCGGTTCCCACCATCCTGCAAACCTAAGACAGAGCCTAGCTCTGTGGGATCCTAGGGACTGGCATCCAAAACCTAAGAACACACTGCAGCATCAGACATGCCGAGACCCCACAGGTGTGGGGGGTGGGGGAAAAGAAGGACACGCTGAGGTGTGATGGAGACGGTGCTGGGCGAAGGCCCATTTCCAGCCATGGCCATGACCATGGTCGCTTACTAGCGAGGTGATGACCCCGGAGGAGACAGCAGAGGGCCATGCAAAGGGACCAGGCTTTGGAGGGCAGCATGGGAGCCTGACTGAGGGGTCCTCCCCACTCCACAATCTCCGTGTAGCAGACCGGCCTTCCTGCTGCCACAGCACAGAGCACGGCTCCCCACTGAGGTACTGCACGGGCCGCCCGTCCCTCCCCTGTCCCTGGAACGTTCCCCCTCCTTGTCTCTGCCTTTAGGGTTCTCTGGCTCCTTCATGGTTTAGCGCGAGAATTACTTTCTATATGAAGCCCCTACTGATCTCCGCAGCCCCTTCCACCGCCAAAATCGTCTTTATTTCCACTCTCTCCATATCCGAACGTGAGAAAAGGGCAGCTTCCCAAGGGCAGACCTGGATTCATTTTTGTCTCTGTGTCCCCTTGCATATAGTAGGGGCCTAATAAATGCTGGCTCACTGAACAAAGGAGCTCGGTCTGTGAGCGCAAAGGCCCGACTTCTGTCAGCCGTGTGAGCCTAGACAAATCTAAGAATCTGCCTGGGCTTCAGTTTACTCATCTGCAAAGTGAGGATTTTTGCATCCCTTACAACGCAGAGAAAAGAAATACTCTGTATGGCTTACGGCAGCACAGCAACGCCTGTGTGCTTGGGAGGGCCACAGCCCTGCTGTGTGACCTCCGCAAATTCGCTAGTGCCCCTGAGCCTTCGTCTCTTCCTCTACAAGCTACAAGTGATGTCAGCAGTCACTGATGGAGGGCTGCTGGGGAGACAGGCAAACACTGGGCTCTGGCCCCTCAATCCTGGCAAACCCTGTGGTGTCACGCTAGAAGCCGCTGAGTGCGGCCTGTCTGCCCCGCTGATGCCAATCTGAGCCCCTGCCCCGGGCGGCCAACAACGAGGGAGGCACGAGGGCAGGAGAGCGACAGCAGCAAACAGTGAGAGGCAAAACGGGCTCCGTGGGGGGCAGCTCCGCAAACTGGGATGATGGCATTGGTGCCGTAAGAAACTGTAAGTTCAGAAGCCTGAGAGGTGTGGGGGAAACCATGGGTACAGACACCCAGGAATAAGGGGAAGGACACAACAGGGAAGCTACCCGGCTGGTCACGAGGAGCAGAAGAACTCTGGTCCCCATGGCAGCCAGTCTGCCAGGCCGAGGCTTGGCCTGTCCACCTGCCTGGATGGGCCCAGCCTCCTCTCCAGGGAGGCGTCTATGGGGGAGGATGGTCACTAGCAAGTGAGCGGGATAGAAAGGAGTGACAAATACCTCCCCTCATTCCAGTCACACCCAGGAGCAAATACAAGCCCTGTGTTTGGCCTTCAAGGCCAAATTCCCTCCCACTTCCCCACCAGTCTGGCCTCCGGTCTCCCTCTCCCAGCTCCAGGCCTTCTCTCTGGCTGTGCCCTCCCCCAGTCTCCAGGAAACCATCCCCAGCCACTCTCAATTCCAGGGTCTTCCTCTGCTCATTTCCTGCCTGTCCTATCTGTAGCTTATTTGCATAGGTCAGTTTGCTCATCACCCCCTCCTCAGACTGATTCTCAATTTTTACCTTTCTTTGTGTTGCCAAGGCCTGAAGGCCTGGCACACAGTAGGTGCTTAACTTTATGACCTTTAAGTATCATTTCCATCTTGCCCAGGGTCATTTCCATCCAACGTTTCCTTTTCCTTAATAGCACAGCCCAGGTCTCAGGGAGGGGGGGGGGGGGCAGATGCCCCATCTCCAGCCCCCTCTCACCTCAGTGGGAATTAAGTACCTCCTGCCAGGCAGGGGCCATTGCCCAGACTGTGGATGGGGATGCAGCACATGGACAGAAAACACCAGATGATTTGGGGGAGACAGCACTAACAACGGGGGGGGGGGGGGAGAGCAGAGATATTCAGAAAAGCTTCACAGAGGAAATGGCCCCTGAGCTGAGTCACCAAGGAAGCTAGGAATTCTCAAAGCCAGAGGGGAGGAGGGAAGGCATTCCAGGGTCATGGTTAGCCTGTGCAAAGGTGTGGAGATGGGAGATAGCCCCAAATTCAGGGACCGTAAAGAGGCCAGTTTGGCTGGAAATCAGTGTGTGTTAAGAGACCCCATGTAAAGCAAGTGTGGACAGACTGGTGGGAGGGAGCCAGACTGCAGGGTCTGCGGTCAAGTCTATGCCTTGGTCAGTGGGGCAGGATGGAGAGGTCGGAGACTCAAGGCCAGGTGAGGGATCATCAGGGCTTGGATCACAAGTGGAGACAGACAGGCTGAGAGGGAAGGAAGATGACAGGATGACAGAGGTGCTGAAACGGGACGAACAGATGGATGAAACGGAGGTGTGGAGGCCAGAACTGTGGCTGGGGGACAGACGTCCACCGGCCTTTGGGAGAGGCCTCGATGGGCCGAGGCTGGGCAGTGGAAGGCACGCAGGAGCCGGCTCCTTGAGTTTTCTGTTTCACTTCTCAAGCCCCTCAGGCCTATCTCAGAGTCTGGCCCTGTGGGGGCAGAGAATAAATGCTTGCCTGGTGCAATCGGTCCCCAGGGCTGGGGGTGGGATTCCAAGCCAGGCTAACACTCTACTTGGGGTTCATCTGTGGGGAGGCCACAATGAACTTCTGGGAGCAGAGGAGCTGGGGGCCTGGGGGTAGGCATTTAAGACACATGTCTCAGGTGCCTGGGCACAGCCCCTGTCCATCAATCCTGGTCAAATGTGGAGCGTCTGACCACCGAGTCAGCTCACAGAAGTCCCGGAAGATCGTGGAGAGAGCCGGGCGGGGTTCTGCACGACGCCCTCCACTCCCCTGGCTGGGCAGAGACTTCAGCATCTCAGGGATCTGGGTTCAAACTGCTTCTGTTACTCACTCCTCACATGACCTTGGGTCAGTCTTTCAGGTCCTTCCACAGAATGAGGAGCCTGGAAGGCGCCTTCCAGCTCCAGATCTGTGACCCTATGATTCCTTCCACTAAAAAATTCCCATTAGCCAATAAAGGGAAGAAAACTTTGGCAAGGTAGGGAGGGTCAGGGAAAGAAGGTGCCCTTGAGGAAAGCCAGCTTTCCCTACAAAGGACAGGGCAGGACCAATGACACAGGCCAACAGAAGCCTTCCAGACCACCACCAGGAGAGGAAAACAAAGGAGGCCCCGGAGAGCTGGCCGGCTGGGGGAGACAGAGGGGGAGGGAGGGAGGAGAGCCAGGTCCAACTCCCCAAAGGCTGAGGCTTGCTATGATTCAAGTTCTCCGGCAAAATGGGGACAATCCCAGCTTTGTGAAGCCACTCTAGGGCCTCTATGTAGAGATGCTCATGGCTACAGGGGGGTCAGCCTGAAGGATGCTCCCAAATTGAACTTTTAAAATCTCATCTGACCATGACATGACGGTAAGTAATGATGATGATAAATAATGATGATGAGAGCACGCACTGACACAGTGTGTGAAGGTTCCAAAGTGTTTTACGTTTTCTCACTGATTCTCACAACCACCCTGGGAGAGAGGTGCTATTATATATACCTGTTACACATAAAGAAACCGAGGCAAGCAGAGGGGAAGTGACTGGCCCAAAAGTCTAAGGCAGGATCAACTTAGGTCAATCAAGAAATAAACATTTATTAAACACCTACTATGTGCCTAGCTCTGTGCTAAGCCCCAAGGATACAAAAAGAGGCAAAAGACAGGCCCTGCTCTCAAGGAGCTTATGATCTGATGGAGGACACAACGCAAACACACATATACGGGACTCCAAGTGCCGCCCCACTAGCCCCCCCATCTTCAAACTTCCTCCCTATTCTCTCTTTTTCCAGCAGACGGACCACATTCCTGGCCTCTGCCTCCTCTCCTCTCATTCATTTCTCACCCGATGTGGTCACTGGTCAGACCCGGCTCTCTTCCAAGTCGCCCCCCGATGGCCTCTTCTCGTCCCTGCTCCCCCCTCGACCTCTCTGGGGCCTTGGACATTCCCCTCGGAGATTTCATGACCCTGCCCGCCCTTTGTTCTCCTCCCACCCTCTGGGCCAGTTCTCAGGCTTCTCTGCTGGCTCATCGATCATCCCAAGACTCTCTCCTGGGTCTTGTTTTCCTCTCTCTGTGACCTCATTAGCACCTGTGGGTTCATTCCCACCCCATGCAGGTGACTCCCAGATCTCTGTATCCAGCCCTAACTTCTCCTGAACTCCAGGCCTGCCAATCAATGTGAACTGGATGTTCTAGAATCATCTCAAACAAAACCTGTCCAAAACAACTCGTTATTTCCTTCATCTGGACTCCTCACGTCCCATCAGCTGCCAAGGCTGGTGGACTTGCTCCCTCCACACCGTCTCGCCCATCTGTCCCCTTCGCTTGGGTCCCTGGCCTCTCCAATCCCTCCCCCACAGGTGCCATGGTGAAATCCCGAGAGCACGGGGGTGGCCTGTCCCTTTTCAGCCCAAGTTGCTCCCTATAATCTCTAGAATCAAACAATCCTTCACAACTGGGCTGACCTTCCCGGACTTCCCACGCATCACTCCCCGTCACACACTTCATTGTCCAGCCTGACTGGCCTGGCTGGACACAAGCTCCCATCACCGCCGGGGGCACTTGCTCCCCACCCTCCCCTCTCAGGACCCCCAGTCTCCCTCAAAGCTCAAACACCCCTCCTACCAAGGCCTTTGCTAATCCTCCCAGCGGCTGGTCTCCCCCCGCACAAGCAGCTCTATTTAGGGACAGGAATGGATTGGGATTTCGGGGTAAAAGGACCTCTGCATGAAGAACTCCCAGAGTGAAGGCCTGATGCCAAAGGAGAAGGGGAAGAGGACCCACCTCGGGCTCCCACGGAGGACACACTGCTGCGATGGGAGCGCTCTGCTGGCCCAGGCGGCCCCGAGCCCTCGCCTCCCTCCATCTGCAGAGAGAAGAGCGTGGGTTAACAAGACTAATGGCCAGCATTTATGCAGTGCCTACTGTGTGCCAGGCTGTCACCATCCCATCTCACAGGTGAGGCCCAGCCTCTAAAGCTACTTCCTTAGCTGGGGGGAGGGGGAATGGCCAGTCCAGAAGCTGGGGAGGGGGAGGGCTGGGAGTCAGAGCAAGCCATCCCGGGGCCACAGGGCCAGGGCTGGGAGGCGGGGCTGAGGTCCACAGAGGACTGGGAGGGAGGAGGGTAAATGCCAGGCTGGGGAAGCTCGAAAGAGCCTTTGGAGAGGATGGAGGGGGGACCAGAGGGAGGCTGAGGGCTGGGGGGAGGGGGGAGAGTGGGACCAGAGGGAGGCTGAGGGCTGGGGGGGGGGGGG